AAGCAGCCATTGAGGCTGCAGAAGGTTGGAATGGCCCCTGAATGGAAGGAAAGCAGGAGAGTGTGTGTGGATTATGATTTTCTTTCTTTTCTTTTTACAATGCTCGTCTGAATTGTTTGCTTTTAAGCACTTTCCCCCCTTAAGTTCAGAATTTAAAGAGAGGGGTNGGCAGGCCAAAGATCCTAAAAGGGATATAACTGCAGGCCTGACACCAGGATGATTAGGGGACTAGACACTAAAACATATGAAGAACAGTTACAGGAAGTGGGCATGGCTAGTCTAGTGAAGAGAAAGTCCTCCAATATTTGAGGGGCTGCCACAGAGAGGAGGGAGTCAAACTGTTTTCCAAAGCATCTGAAGGCCAGGCAAGGAACAATGGATGGAAACTGACCAAGGAGAGATTCAACCTAGAAATAAGGAGGAACTTTCTGACAGTGAGAACAATCAAGCAATGGGACAGAAGTTGATTTCAGAAATTGTGGGAGCTCCATCACTGGAGGTTTTCAGGAAGAGATTGGATTGCCATTTGTCAGAAATGGTGTAGGGTCCTCTGGTTGAGTTGGACTAGATGACCCATAAGATCCCTTCCAACTCTGTTAATCGGTTTTAAAAAAGTAATTATGGTCAAATTCTGTTTTTGCACCAGGCCATCTCAGTGGATCAATGGCTGTAAATTAACTTTACCAAATCAAACAATCAACCGATCATTTTGCATGTAAGTCAACTCAATTAAGAGAGTCCGCTGGTACAGTCCTTGCTTGAAAATCACTCATCAGATTACAAATGAAGGGGCAGCAGAAATGTGTCCAAGATGTTATAGTTGAATTGCAGAGTCTTTGCTGCTCTCTGAGCTTGGTTGTTTTTATGCAGTCGTTCCATTGCCCGAGTAGGTAACACCTTCAGAAGCATCCAAGATCTTATCCAGCTAATGAAACTTCTGCATGGAAACTCAGAAAGCCCCAAGGACTCTAAAGGGTGAAATCAGAAAGATTAAAATTTAGGTTCTATCTTTGGAAAGTTTGCATTCAGTTACAATGGTGTATTAGTAAATTAAATGAATGAAAGAAAGAAAATTTAGTGCTCATCTTTGAGATGACTTGTGTGTGTGTGTGTGTGTTTGTGTGTGTTTGTGTCTCCCTAAACTATACCTTTTGTTTAGTATCAGTTTTCTGCCTTTTGAAAATTGCATTTTCTCTCCCCCCCCCTAGTATTTTATTGCTGACTGTTTAAATTGGTCTTTTATATCTGTCTATTGGTCTATTTCTATGTATGTATGTATGTATGTATGTATGTATGTATGTATGTATGNTGTTATATTTATGCTGATAAATAAATATCTTTTTTATTAAAAAAAGAAATGTTTCAGATTATGTAGAATGAAAAATAAGATCCACCCTCCCTCTTTCTTTCTCTCTCTCCCTTTTTCTCTCTTCTTCCTCTCCCCTCCTCTTCCTCTCAGTCTCCCTTTTCCCCCTTTCCCCTTGGTATGGCCTGAATGTGTCACTCCACAATTAAAAAAAACCACCCAGTTATGTTCTGCCAATGGAATGCACATGTTTTGGGCAACAAACCTATTTGGTCCTAGTAGATGCCATTCTGATGGCTTCCTTCTCTGTGTGAAGTTCCCAAGAGATGACCTAATTAATTTATGAGCCTCGAAACAAAGTTGAAACAAAAACCATTCATTTATTAGGATCAACATCTTGGCTTGATCTCCTGTGGAGCCTAAACTGGCTTTCGCTTAATTGCGTTTGAACTTTACCCCCCTATCTCCTCCCCTCTGTCATGCATCATACATCAAATTCATGAACTAGGTTGTAGAAACATGAGATCCAACTCTGGCTGAAGGTATGCATGGAATCCTCCCTCAAATGCCAACCGGATAATTGTCATGGCAACGCTTTACAAGTTGACACTCTGGGGGCTTCCAGATGTTTGGCTTCATGTCTAAGAGCAGAAGGAATACCTAGCCTGCAATTGTGTATATTGTGTGCAGGATCAGCTTTGAAGGATTATTGAGGTCAGTTATTGAGTCTGCAGTTCAGTTCTCTCCCCTGGCCCTGACTCAAAATGTATAATGAAGCTTAAATTAGCTACCTGATTCATCACTTCCTATTGCATGTATGAATAAAAATGCTCAGAATAGGAAAAACAGAGGCCTCAAATACCCTCACCCGAAAGGTTAAGGATGGAAAGAAATTTATCTGCTTTGTAGTAGCTGAGACTTTGAGCCTGAAACGGCTGCTCAAACATCAGCTGAGAGCTGTAAGAGGATTAAATGAGCCAGAATGGATGCAGGAAACAAGAGACCAGATCATCCCTTAAGAGGCGGCCCTCTCAGAGCCCTCCCCATGGCCAAAGGAAAGAGGAGCTGGCTGTGGGGCTTCCAGTCCTTTTCTCAACAGCTTAAAACAGAGGGAGAAACTGCTTATGTTTCCTTTCCTTTCCTTCTGCATATTTATATATTTATATAACTGAAACAAGGGCATCGGAGCATTAAACACTCAGCATCAACCAGTCCCTCCGACCTTGAATCAGAACAGATCTGGAAGGGACCGCGGAGATCTTCCAGTCCAGCCCTCTGCTCAAGCAGGAGACCCGGTAGCCGTGATGGTGAACCTATGGCATGCGTGCTGCGGGTGTCACGCGGAGCCATTTCTGAGGGCACGCAAGGCTTTGCCCTGTCAGCTCGTGCTGGTTTTCAGTAGTTTTTTTTTACTCTCCGGAGGATTCCCTGAAGCCTCCAAAGGCTAAAAACAGCCCAACACAAAACGGAAATGAGGAAGAGAGCTGCCTGCATGGGGAAAGACAAGCGGGGAAAGACAAGCGGCATGGAAAGAAGGGGCTTCTTTCCCTCTTGCTGGCGGCTCTGTTTCCCCCCTTCCCCGGCCTATTAAAGAGGATCTAGCCTGGTCCCTCCAATCCAAAGGGAAATGAGGAAGGGGGAAAGATAGCGGCAAGGAAAGAAGAAAAGGGGCTTCTTTCCCTCAAGGTGGCTGCTCTGTTGCCCTTTCTCCACTTCAGCGCCACACCATGGAGCCTGCCCCACCCACCATCGCCCAGGTCCTCGCTTCTCCCAAGCATTTCTTTGCCTACCGGATTTCCCCTCTGTCGCATTTTCCCATCGTGTTTCTTGCCGTTTTGGGCAGGGAAACAAAGTTTGTGGGACTTAAAAAAACAAACCTTCAATCAATCAATTCCAACTTCGCGAGATCCCCCGCACCCCAAAGTTGTAATTGATTGATTGAAGTTTTTTTTTTACTCCCACAAACTTTGTTTCCCTGCACACGATGGCAAGAAACGCAATGGAGCTGGAAATCCGGTAGGCAAAGAAATGCTTGGGAGAAGCGAGGACCTGGGCGATGGTGGGTGGGGCAAGCTCCATGGCGTGGCGCTGAAGTGGAGAAAGGGCAACAGAGCAGCTACCTTGAGGGGGGGAAGCCCCTTTTCTTCTTTCCTTGCCGCTTTCTTTCCCCCGTGCAGGCAGCTCCCTTCCGCATTTCCCTTTGGATCGCAGCGACCAGGCAAGATCCTCTTTAATAGGCCGGGGGAAGGGGGGGAAACAGAGCCGCCAGCAAGAGGGAAAGAAGCCCCTTCTTTCCTTGCCACTTGTCTTTCCCCTCTTGTCTTTCCCCTGTGCCAGCAGCTCCCTTCATCGTTTGTCTATTGATTGTAGTGCCCAGGATCCTCTTTGATAGGTTGGGGGGGGGGATTTAGCAACCAGACTCACACCGTAAAAAGGGCCCAATCCTTACACAGGATAATGATAAGGGAAGGTTTTTTTTGATGCAGGAGCAAACTTGAGCATCCCTCTCTCACCCCGGTCTCTGTCCGTTTGTGGCAGAGCAACCTCTCCCCTCACTGTGTGTTAGCCAAGGGGAAACAGCCAGAGCAGGGAGTGGTGGGGAAGCCTTGCGCAAAAATGTGCGGCCCACGGAGGTGAGGAGGGACATTAAGTTATGTGTGTGATAGCGTGCACGTGCGTGCTTTTGGGACCCGAGGCGAAAAAGGTTCACCATCACTGCCCTATAGCATTTCAGGCACGTGGCTGTCCAACATATTCTTAAAAGCCTCCAGTGATGGAGCACCCACAACCTCTGAAGGCAACTTCTGTTCCGCTGGTTAATGGTTCTCCCTGTTAGGAAGTTTCTCCTTAATTCCAGGTTGCTTCTCTCCTTGATTAGTTTCCATCCGTTGCTTCTTGTCCTGCCCTCAGGTGCTTTGGAGACTAGGTTGACGCCCTCCTCTTTGAACACTACTATCATGTCATCCCTAACCCTTCTTTTCACTAGACTAGACATAATTCATTGTATTGTTTAGCTTCTGACCCCTTGTTGCTCTTCTCTGCACTCTTTCCAGAGTCACAACATCGTCATATGGTAATGACCAGTTGCCTGGGTTTTGCAGGCAGGCATCCTTTGGGTAGAAATGGCAAAGGCAGGCCGAGCACATGCCTTAGCCCCTCTGACTTTAATCTCCAAATAACCTAGAAAAAGCACCCGGGGGGGGGGGAATCCAGCTTGCTCTGCTGCCCCCCTNGTTCCTGAAGGGAGGGTTGTCCTCTGTGGACAGGAGGCAGCCTCTGGCCGCTCATTCTCAGCAACAGATGGAGGGAACAGGAGCTGCGGAGGTTGGAGACACACAGGACAAACATCTGCACAAGCAACTCTTTTAATAATGTAGCAGACAACGGGGGGGGGACGTTGGTGGCATGGATCCTATTTTGGTGTCCGCTTACAGCTACACAACAGTACACTTAGAGACCGTTCAAAGTTCCAACGGCACTAAAAAGTGATTTATGACCATTTGTCACACTTATGACCATTGCACAGGGTCACATTAATCCCCCTTTGGGACCTTCTGACAAGCAAAGTCAACGGGAAAGCCAGATTCGCTTAATGACGGTGCTGCTAATTTAACAACTGCAGTGATTCACTTGACAGCTGTGGTAAGAAAGGTCATAAATTGGGGCAGGATTCACTTAACAAAGGTCCAATTTAGCAGCAGATATTATGGTCTAAATTGTGGTCATATGTGGAAGACATATGGGGTGTAAATGAAGGATCAGGGGACACATTGCGTAGCAAGAAACCCAGGAGGGAGCAGGAGCCAATTCTGTCTCTCCTTAGGAAATGTATACATTCCCCTCTCTTCATCGTCACATGGGATCTTTTTTAAGGTTGGGCCTGTCTAGAACGTGAATTAATTAATTTTGTCATCAATTTTGGGTTTCTCAATTTTTTCTCCTGTTAGAAACTGCCACAATCCTCCTCGGTAATTCTCATTCCCCAAGGCGTAAATGAAGGCATTCATGGTCGGTGAAGTTTTGGCAACAAGAGCAGGAATCTGTGAAAAAGCCACATCATCATCATCATCATCATCATCATCATCGTCATCGTCATCGTCACCGTCACCGTCACCGTCATCACCATCCTCATTTCATATTAAAACTGCAGATCTGGTAGACCTCCTTCCCCTCCCCCTTTGACTTCTAACCTTCCTTTTCTTCAGAAAAAGACATTTCCAAGGTGGGTTGAAGGGTTCACATAGATTCATATAGATTAACAGAGTTGGAAGCTTGTAGGTCATCTAGTCCAGCCCCCCACCCAAGCAGGAGTCCCTCCACCATCCCTGACAAATGGCAGTCCAATCTCCCCTTGAAAGCCTTCAGTGACTAAGCTCCCACAACTTCTGAAGACAACTTCCATTCCATGGGTTGGTTGTTCTCCCTGTCAGGGTTGCTATAAAGTGATGGAGAAGCAGGGAATGATAGAAATAAAAAGAATGCCTGGGACAGCCTGGGCAATCTCAGACCAAACATGGGAAGCACAAACCACATCAACAAAGTAGTCAAAGAAGGCAACTGTAAAAGGGCAACATTTTAGAGGGAGCAGAAGTTTGTTTTTCCTCTTCAGGAGAAATTTCAGTGCGGTAGGATCTCATATCATTTCTTACTTACCATTAAGATTTTGGGGGAGACGAGTGCCACATTTTCAACTGCAGCATAGATACTTAAAAGTGAGTATGGACCCCAACAAAAGACCAAAGATTTCACTGGCAAACTAGTATTAAACTGGGAAAAGAAGAACAAAAGTTAGAGCAATCTATGAACTGTCTATTGATATAAAAAAAAATAAAGTCAGATATTTAAAATAAAGCAAATTGGGGTTCTGGATGGATTGTCACTCCAAATGTTTCTGGTTGCCCTTCCAGTTCTGAAAAGTTAAGAAAAATCCTAATTCTTCATTATGGGTGCCATTTTTTGAAATTTTTTATATGAGCCCTTTGGGCTCCTTGGAGCTTTTCCCCTGGAGAAAGTCAGTAATATGTGTATGGTGAGGGGCATTGCAGGGGGTGGGCTGTATCCCACCTTAGGGATTGGTAGACTGAAGTTCTCCAGACTTTCAGACTGACTTATGGCTTCCTCTACCTCTGGGTCCATAAATGGTTCATAATGTAAGTCACTTTTGTGCTCATTTCAGCACTGCTGAGTAGCAGGCCCTCAATAGCGCCTAAAGTTAATTTAACATAAATGCTCATTTAAAGTTCAGTGTCCGGTTCAATGGTCTGCCAGCTTAATTTCTCTTAGAATGTTGGGATCCTACAGGATAGCCCAAAGGTGACTTTTCCAAAAGACACTGGATTTTCTTGGTTTTTTTCCCCCCTTGAAAATGTTTTGCTTTTCATTCAAGGAGCTTTAGTTCTCTGGATGAGAAGCAAAATGTTTTCAAGGGAACACCCCCCCCCCCGAAAGTCCAGTTGTCTTTTGGAAAAGTGCCTTTGGCACAACCATGCCCTGGATGATTGAGAATCTCCATAGGCATCCTATAGAATAGGACCAGCTACCTACACCTGACGCTTCTCAATATGGATGAAACGGTTGCATCCCATCTCCTGAAGCTCGGTGTAACTGAAAACACCACACCGTACAGGATAGACATTGTATCAATGCTATGAAAACCAGAAAACTCAAGTCAAACAAGATCTAGCTTTGCTTTACTGGAAACCCTTCTGTGTCGTGATGTTTTCTTACCTTCAGCTGTCCTGTTTTCCTGAATTTGTTATCAATGGATTGATAGGACATTAATATGATGAAAAGTGGGATCACAAAATTGAACAGCACCAGAGGAATAAGAAACGTGATGTAATTTCTGGGGGGTGAAAAACAATGAAGGGCAAATGATTCTTTGGAATGAATCCTGATGTAGTCAACAATCAGAACATCTCCGGAAAACAGAATAAAAAGAAAGAATAAAACCTCCACCTGAGGCTAAGGGCTGAAAGCTGCATCAAAGGACTTGGTACAAAACTTCCTTGTATGGTGCCAAACCCTGATTGATGATGATCTGATTCAGTGGTTCTCGACCTGTGGTCTGTGATTGATGAGGAGGGGTGTGTGGTATGATGTCGTCACAGGCTTGGAGAAATGTTATGATTTAAATCTTAAGTCTTGGGAGTCCATGGCCACAAAAGGTATTTAAATGCGGGTCCATGGTGAAAAAAAGGTTTAGAACCACTGATCACGGTGTTTGCCTTTTATGTGCAGGAAAAGCTCCCTGAACTATTGAATTCTTATCAAACTGATGCTTAGTCCTACAAGTTAGGCTACCCAGATTGCTTACCATGTTGGTATCAGATCCCTAGCTGGGGAAGGGGGGGGGGGGGGAGGCAAGCTGTTCCACTGACTGTTCTCACTGCCAGAAAATTTCTCCTTATTTCTAGGTTGGATCTCTCCTTGATTAGTTTCCATCCATTCCTTCTTGTCCTGCCTTCTGATGCTTTGAAAAATAGGTTGACCTCTTCCTCTTCTTTGTGGCAGCCCCTTGAATACTGGGAGACTGTTATCATGTTCTTCTTTTCACTAGACTAGCCATTCCCAATTCCTGCAGCTGCTCTTCATATGTTTTAGCCTCCAGTCCCCTAATCATCTTTGTTGCTCTTCTCTGCACTCTTTCTAGAGTCTCAACATCTTTTTTATATCGTGGTGACCAGAACTGAATGCAGAATTCCAAAGGCCTTATAAAGTGGTGTTCAGATGATCTTGATTCTATCCCTCTATTAATGCAGTCTAGTTAGACTGGCTTTTTTGGCAGCGGCAGCTGATGGCTGGCCCCTATTCAAGAGATCATCTACTAAGACCCCAACATTTCTATTGCAGTTACTGCTGTGAATGGTAAAATGAAAGAATGGAAACTCAGTTGGAGCAGCATCAGTTAGAAAACAGTCCTCCAGTGACTGTTTTGCCCTAATAAAAAGTTAGGTGTCCCAAAGACTGCTCATGGCAGGTGATGTGAGGACATAAAGAATCTATAGGAATGGAAAGTACTCCATGGAAGGGATAGGAGCTATTAACCCTGCATTGCCACCACCATTAAAGCACACCATCCAATTATCCTTGTCATGCAAAGAAACTTTTTATCAAAAAAAGAGCAGAATGAGCCTAAGAACTTGTTTTTCATCTCAGCTGGTTTAACCTTCCTTCCCAAAGAGACCTGGACCTCAGAAACCCTTACCTGTCTCCTTTGGTATAGTCCAAAGTGCAACAGGTCCTCAGAGGCTCATAATCATATGCCCCCCATCCCAAAAGGGGCATTGCGGACCAAAAGCCAGCGAAACACCAAGCAAACAGCCCCATGGAGAACACCGAATTCCACTGTAATTTTTGCCCTGCAAGAGAAAAATAGAAGCTCACCAATTTGTAGTGGGATTACAATGCAGCAAGGAAGGGCAACCTCTTCAGATTTCCCTCCAGGGTGGACACTCTGTTTTGGGAAGAGGCTCTGGGGAGGAAGCTACTGAAACATTAAGGTGGAATTTCTCTGTGTGTGGAAAGGGTCTTTTTTTTGCAGAGCTGCAAACTGGGAGAGAAGAACCTCACGTTCTTTTCTGGGCCTCTGTATAATAATGATGATGATGATGATGATGATGATGATGATGAAAATGAAGCCTACAAATACTTAGGCATTCTGCAGTTGGATAACATCAAGCATGGAGAAGTAAAAACTATTGTCAGGAGAGAGTACACCAACAGAGTTAGGAAAATTTTGAAATCTAAATTGAATGGTGGAAATACAATCAAGGCCATAAATACCTGGGCAATACCAATTATAAGATACACAGCTGGTATAGTTAACTGAACACAAGCTGATTTGGACATTTTAGACTGAAAAACCAGGAAACTAATGACAATGTACTACAGTTTACATCC